CATGGAATTAAAACGATAAGAATCTGTGAAACTGTGATTCATCGTTACAGATGCACGGAGAAACTGTTATTTTTAATTTTCACTAATTCAGCATTTATACACTACATTAAAAAGGAATGTGGAAAACATGAGCTGTCACAATGAGCAGTTCTTACTTATGTGCGGTTAACACCATCTTAGGCACATATGCAAATTACCAAATATGTGCATGTGCTTACGCACTTTGACTTTAAAAAAAAAACAAACGCTAATAATAAAGACAGTATGGAGAATGAAACCTAATTCTTGATCATATCAAACTGAAGCATATCAGTTACAAACCAGAAAGTAGATTAACGAGTGAGTAGGTCCGGGTCAGCTGAACACAGGGAATTTCAGAGTTTCTCCAGTTGACAGATGACGACTCAGCATGAGCGCAGGGCTACTTAAGTTTCACATCACACCACTACGGGTTTTTCATACTGCTTGTACAGCTCTGCAGAAATAATAAGTTTGTTGACAACGTTTTATTTATTATTGCATGCTTGTGTATGTGTATGTGTTATTCTGTGTGTGTGTGTCAGGTTAAAACCACTTAGGTATTGGCAAAAAGCACTTGTATAAATGTGTGTGTGAGTGAATGAATGAATGAGGCCTGTGGTGAAAACCACTTCAAGTGCTCAAATAGAGTAAATAGCACCAGTCCGTTCACAGTCAAGTGTGCATTAAATAAATAAATGATGATGAATTCGTTTTTTCATTTCCATCACTAAGCAGAGCACATTCACCACAGTGAGTAAGCTGGGAGGGCAGTTCAGTGACTGAAGAATTACTCGTAGTTCTCTGTTGGTCAACTACAGGAAACGAAGATGAAGCTCCAAGAAATTTGCTCTTTTACTGTTCTGAGCATTCTTCATCGATCCACCCCGTTACCAGCTGTCAGATCAGATCTCATGCAACTTGTTACCACACCCATCCATGTGAGTGTGACTGGCGGTATCAGCGATACTTACTGACCGTGGTCATAGAAGTTGCATTTCTGATAATTTCCTTTTTGAGAATTTCTAAAGCTACACAAAACTAGTGAAGACACACTTACACTTTATAACAATTGTTTATGTTTATATAACCAAAGCCACAAAGTATAAACAATAACCGAAACATACCTGAGAAGAGTTGTGTGCTACAAATGAGGGGGGGAAAAAAGAGTACACATACACACACACACACGCACACACGCATTCAAACGGACAAACAATGTGAAAGTGAAAGAGGAGTGTGGTGAATGTGACTGTAAAGACGCGTTAGTTTCTGATAAACTGACAAAAAATGTGATGCACAAGGCTGAGGAAAGGCATAACTACAATACAGAGTGCAAGTCATCAGGTCTGCAGAGCACAAGAAATTCACATTCAGACGCATTGTTATATCAGCTCATTTCTGTCAAGTTCCAGGAGTGGGTTAAGTTTCAACTGGATGTGATATCAGCAGTAGTTTCATGTAAAGTGCTGAAAATCGCTGACAGCAGATTCTCAGCACTGGTGCATGACAGCATCAGCAAACTGAGGTGAAGGGTTAAGAGCAAAGACAACAGAGACACCTAATTATTTACAAGGCATACGCCTCCCAGCCGACTGTTACAACAAAGCGACAAGATGCAAAATAAGCTCTGGCTCTGCTTTGTCCCCATTTCATTGAAGCAAATTGTGAACAGGACACGAAAAGGGATGTGTTGGCAGAAGAAAACCGTTGTGTGGTGTGGGAAATATCACTGCTAAAGCACTTCTTTGCGGTTTCGTTTGACAGGTTACCTTTTACAGACTGAGATGAAGGAGCCGCTTAATGAAAATGTTAACTTTCTGACAGCGCAGATTCTTTTTCATAGTATTGTCATATTGCTAAAACTTCACGCCTGTAGCTTTCATCCATATTTTGCAGAGTTCTAGTTTGAAAGTCACAAGTCTGTCAGTTTACTTTAATATTAAAATGAGACAGAAATGCAAATGGCACCCGAGAAAGGCAGCTATATTAAAGTGTATGCGGTTTTCCTTTTTTTGGTGCTACATACTGATTCAAAACCAGGAAACAGCTTGTTACAATGTGACTGGTGGAGGACTGATGTAACCTCTGTACCAGAACAGAGAAGTCGACTATAAAGTGCCTTAGCCCTTAAAGAATAAGACCCAACTTCTCTCTTGATTTATTACCTCAGTAAATACTTTGACCTTTTAGCACTGTGTTTTCAGTTTCAGTAACATTTTCCTTGCCTTATTAAGATTTTTTCAGTCTTGAGAAGAGTTTTTGCTTGCTACAGGCAGCATGGCAGCACGGTGGTTAGCACTGTTGAATGTCCTGAGTTTAATTCCACCATCAGGCCAGGGTCTTTCTGTGTGGAGTTTGCATGTTCTCCCCGTAAGCGGGAATGTGTTGCAAGAGGCTACAATTTGCATGGGCTCATCACAACTGGTGAAATTGGGGAAAACATCAGGTGTGATGAGTCTAGATTTGTGCTGTGACATGTGGATGACAGGGTATTGCATCAACAGTCAGGCTGCTGCTGCTCGTATAATGTTCTTGGCGCACTTTAGTACCATCATAGCATCACTTAACTGCCACAGCCTACCTGAGCATTATTGGTGTATTATTGGATCCTTACTGGGTATGTTCCTCCCTTTGTGATCCCAGAGTATCCATCTTCTCATAGACACATTCAGCAGGTTATCATGTCCCAAAGCTCAAATCATCTCAAACTGGTTTCTTGAGCATGACTTTGAGTTCACTGTACTCAAATGGCCTCCACAATCACAAGATCTCAGTCAAACAGAGCACATTTGGAATGCGGTGGAACAAGAGATTCTCATCATGGATGTGCATAACTGTCAAGTGAATATGAACCGAAATCTCTGAGAAATGTTTCCGACACCTTGCTGAATCTGTGCCACGAAGAATTAAAGCAGTTAAGGCAAAAGGGTTTCCAACTTAGTACCTACAACAGGAAGGTGTGGTGAAATGCTTAACTGGAGGCATGAAGACGGTAGCCCACAAACCAATGGATGACATCATTTTTGCTAATCTTTTGCATATGGTTTCAGGTATATCTCGTGGCAAACGGGATTAGCATTACTAATACCAGTAACACAATTTCAACCTGAAATAATCATACCTTGATAACACCTCAGTTCTGTGAATGGCAGGTCTGAAGACCTCATTTATTGTGTGGTGTGGGTTTCTATTACTCAGGAGTTTATCTGGATAGACATCTTATGACAAAAGATTCTGACTAACAACTTAAAATTTGTCATTTTCAGAATGAAAAATGACGTATCAGACTAGTCAGAAGTATCTTAAAAGCAACTAATTATACAAATTATAAAATCATAATGCAGAGCGCATACATGCACTGATGTGAAGTACAAGGCGTTTCCTATGAACTGGTCACTGCTGATTCATTTATTTTACATGGAGTAACTTCAGCTGTTCCCTTACTTCCTAAGGTGTTGCCCCATGCATAGATTTTACGCTGGATTGGCCTTAATGACATAACCGTGGGACCAAACAAGAGTACACTAGCTCATGACCCTCTGAGGACGGCGTTTGTCAGCTCTCGGTCTCAAATCAGGGATCTTTTACACGTTGGTGAATGGGTTAACGACTACACTATAGATTTCACAGATAATAGATATCGTGGATAGATTTGACCACTTCTTGATTTTTTTCTCCCTAACCCAAACCATAACGTGTTGCCTTGCTCTATTTATTTTTTGTAACAAACTGAAAGTTACACCATAATTTAGACATTTCAAATCTTCTGCCTTCAAAAACAACTTGAAACCCTTTTATTAAATCTCTTATTACAACATTATTGCAAAACTATGTATGTGTCATGTGTTAAATGAACTTTAGCTTGACCCTTCATTTGTCTGCTGACCACAAAGTCTGTTTATCACACAGAGGCGATCACAGAATGATCCCCCCAGTCCCCCCCCCACGGGCGTATTTTCCAAATGCCAGTGTTGCCTAACATGCACGGCCTAAGACGACGTGTGAATTGGGGAGATATCAAATTATCTGGACTGTTGGACATTCCATTCAAAAAAAAAGTACTAAGGGGGAAATACCTCTTACGCTCCCAACATTGCTGAATCACTTCTCGGTGCGGTTTCTCTATTACAAATCTGAATACATATATACGTTGTTTTTAATGCAAAATGGTTCACTGAAAAAGGATTGTGGAATCTAAGAAAGACTGCAGTAACTCCAACTCAAAGTGAAAAGCACTCTTATTACGTATGTCTGACATGCAGCGAGAATCCACAGCGTCATCATATTCAAACCACAATTCATGTCATTTCCATATGGGGCTTCGATTTCCTTTGTTATTGTGAATAGTCATACGTTGCTTTTCATGGACTTTAAACACAGTTTTTACACTGAAAAATCAGTTTGGAGTTCTTTATCTGCTCCTTTTAGGAACTTAGTAGGGTCGGTGCATGTAAACTTGTCACTTAAAAGCAACAGGTTGAATAACAATTCTAAATATATAATGATTACAATAATGTGAGGAAGGATAACTATATTTACTATTACTGGTAGTGGTAGCAGCATTTTTATTATATATGCAATATTATTACTATATGAAAAATAATTTTTTTAAAAAACAAGCAAAAACCTATTGAATTATTGATCACAGAAAATGATGTCAGAGTTTATTTCCATGGTGTCAATACCAACCCATATGATGGGAGTGGTAGAACATATGCAACACACTAGCTGCTTCTAGGCCAAAAAAAATTCCCCTTCATGTATGAAGCATGTTTAACCATTTCTCTTCCAGTAAGTCTCCTCCCTCGCCAGATTTTGCTATAAATTAAAGCAACAGATGAGCTCTAGTATACACATTTTTCTCTTCTGAGCAATTCAGCAAGATCCAACAAAGCCTTTTGTGCAGGAGCATCAGCATTTCTGTGGACCAGTTATTCTCTTCATTCCAGCCAGAACACTTCAGCATCTTATCCAGCAGAATGACTTCTCAGACCGTCCTCCTGTGCGTCTTGGCGCTCGCGTCTTTCTTCAGCTCTGCTTTGAGCTCTCCTATGTGCAACAACCGCTGCTGCCGTTTCGTGGAGGGCTTCCCCGTCAGGCTCAAGAAGCTCAGACAGGACTATTCACGGATCAGAGATTTCTACGTGAGTAAAAGCATGTTCTCTGCAGGCATTTTTGCAGCATCACCAGCCTTCCCCACAGCGGGGATGCTGCACTTTCTCACTTCTGCCTGTCAGCCTTTGTGGGTGCACGGGTGTCTTACGGCGCACTTACTATTTTTTTCTCCTTCGCTGTTTTTGCAGGAAGCAAACGACGACTTAGACTCAGCGCTGCTAGATCAGTCTGTCGAAGACTCCTTTAAGGTAAGATTCTCGAGGGGAAAAAAACCCTCTCCACAAAAAGTTTAGGATTTGATAAGAAAAGCATGAAAATAACCACGCTGATGTTCTGCTCCATCAGAGCCCGTTTGCCTGTTACGCCATGAACAGCTTACTGGAATTTTACCTGGACACGGTTCTGCCGACAGCCATGGCCGGAGTGACTGAAGACACCAAGAACTTAAAGCCTCACGTGGAGTCCATACAAGAAATTTTCAATACCCTGAAGAGAGATGTCACCCAGTGTGTGAGTATCTGACACGTGTTAACTCCCACAGCAAAACAAACCGTGTAAATATTCACCTTGCGCTGCTTTAAGGTCACGAGTATCCTCTGTAGAATACGCAAGTGCATGCCTTAAAGTACCATTCAGTGGCTTCATATTACTTTTTTGTTATGTTCGCTCAAGTCGTTAAAGATGGCAAAGAAAGCCGAGCAGAAGTAATTACTGCAAAGTATGTTTGGTCAGGTGGATAGGGTTTGGTTGATAAAATACACCTATAAATTGAGTTATATATTGATTTTTATTTTTATTTTAAATAGCCGTTTGACTTTGTGTGAGCATCTGCAAGGAAGTTAGCTTCTACTCTGCATTTACAAATATTCAATTTCTTAATTCATTGAGCCAAAAATTTTCCAAGTACCCTGAGACAGGTTGATTCGGGTTTAAGCGAGTGCTCACAGAACGAGTCTTAATACTGCATTAGTCATGTGATTTTTGAAATGCACAAGTGTGCATCTTCCAGATTATGCAAAAAGGGAAGAGAAGAGACTGAATGTTCCCGCCTTAAGGTTCTTTTCTTAATGCTGTCCGCATGCAGACCTAGATCACCAGTAGTAACATCATGTCTCTTTTGCTCTTCTTACAGAGGAACTACTTCTCCTGCAAAAAACACTTCGACATCAACAATCTGAACTCTACTTACACTCAGGTGAGTGTCAAAGTCACACATGCAGTGAGGCAATATTTGTAATCCTGATTTCAAAAGAATGTGCATGCTTATGCTTTGCGCCATTTGTACTAAGTGAACCTGTCTTTGCTCATCTGCAGATGGAGAGCAGAGGTCTATACAAGGCCATGGGAGAGCTGGACATATTGTTTAACTACTTTGAGACGTACCTGGCTTCTAAACGACACAGACAATAACCTCTGCACGAAGACCTCCTGACCTAAATCAAGATATGAAGCTCATCTCTGGGAGAAAAAGAACTTTTACAAGTATTGACAGATGTGAATTTTTTGTATGAGACTTACTGAACTGTTGTCTTTATTTTTTATGAGACATTATAACCAATTTGTCCTATGGACAATTTTCTGTTAGGATCCTTTTGAATCATTATCATGCTGTTTAAAAAAAGGACACTTTGTTATAATAATATTACATTTGTTATAATTATTTATAAAGATGTGTCATTCTGTGTTTTTTGTATTTATTGTGCCTTCTGTTAAATTGAAATAAATTACTTTAATAATATGACAGATGTCTCTTTAGAGTTGCTTTCACGATATGTAAAAGCTGCTGTGTTTGCCATTGAAAGGAATAGAGCACTGAATACATCACATCCTGCAGTATACGTGAGGAACCATAGACTGCACTGTCAACATGCTGATGCACTAACCTCAAACGTGACCCATATACATCACTTACCAGCAGCAACACTGCTGTATCTTAACTTACCGTAACTCCAACTAGCCAGCCTCACCCTCAATGGCATATGCACACTTGCATGCATGCAAAAGTAATCTCACTTAGTCACACACATTTAGAACAAAACTGACAGGCAAACTAAAACCACTCTGTCACATTGACGGGTGCACAAAGTCATGGGGAGCAATTGCAGATTTATTTTGGGGAGGGGGTGGTGAAAGCATCATACAACAGTCGATGATTGAACTGCAAATAAAGAAGAAGAAACTGTACACAGACACCTTCTGTGTACTGTAGTATCTTTGATTGTTTTCAAAGTGAAGCATCTACAAAACAAACTCACAAACATCAGTGAGGTTCCTGACCTGACTCAGGACTGCACTGAAACTACTCCAGGACATTTCGTCAGTCACTTGCTGACTCAACGTGGGATGAATAGTATCAATTCAGCAATGACAGTTGCAAAAAGATATCATTCATAACTTTGTTCTAACAGGGCATTGCTATTTAAAAGCAGTATAAAAAGCAGTTTGTCAGCAGTGTTGTGGTCAGTGCTTTTTTTATTTCGATTTTTTTAAAGATGCTTGCAGATTCACACTTCATTCACCCCCCGCCCCCCAAAGAGCTCTGGAATCGGTTCCACGTAAACCGATTAAGATCACATCTGGTTGTTATGTAATGAGTGGACTTTCAGACAGCAATAGCTTCAAAGCAGGCTGAGAAAAACTGAAGAATCATTTTCACAAGTATCACGCTGGTACTCTTTTACACTAAATATTCACATCCACCTAAAGCATGGCATTGAGCAGAATGCAACATCTCTGAATATCGTACAGGCATGCTCACAAACAGCAGGTCACAATAAAGAAAGCAATTAAAATATCTGTTCCTTGGGCAAATGGAATACGGCTGTGTGGAATCTTTGAAAATTACATTTCATGGTGTTTTCAGTGAATAGATTATTTTCACAGATGCATGCGTGTCTGATTTTGTTGACGGAAATATAAACAAAAAAAGTCTTTCACTCATCTGTTTCATAGATCACGTGTATAGGAAAGTAACAAACAGTGCACACAGACGCATATGTGTTCCGCACCCTGGAAAAAAAACATTTATTCAGAGGTTTCGGTACTCGATCACGAGGCAATTAAACAAAGGGAAGGTACCTCTTATAAGACTGGTTCTAAGGCTGCAAGTGCATATTGAAAGTTCAGTCAGTTTGCAGCTACACTATATGGACAAAAACGGTCACCTTCACATTGCACCTACAGGAGGTTTTATGACATCCTATCCTACATCCATATGATGTCTTCCGCTCTTTGGGAAGGCTTTCTATGACATTTTGGAATGTGTCTCTGGGAATGATTGCCCACCACCCAACAGTGGTGTTGGACAAGAGGCTTGACTTGCAATTTCTGTTCAATATTTTCTCAGAGGTGATTTTGATGGGGTTAAGGGAGGTCAGGGTTCTGTACAGGCCAGTCAGATTATTCCACACCAAACTCATACTTTTTTTTTTTTAATTAATAGAAAAACAAAGTCTGTTTAGAAATCATGAAGCTATGTGAGGAAACAAAACCATCCTCAAGAAGAAAAGGAAACAGCAGTCAGATGTCAAATAGTCCAGCTATGATTCATTATTTAGAATAATTAAAATTCAGCATGTTTGCAAAGAATATTTCTGCACACACATGCACCAAATTTAGATCCTTCAGAGACTGACACCCTTTAGATAGAACGTGACACACTCAATTATGAGTCATTATGAGTTTTCAATACATCAAACTTGGAAAAATAAGGTCATTAGCCCACCTTCTTGGCATGACACGATGAGTAAAAGGACACCGTGCATGACATGTCACTTTGTAGGCACAGTACGGATATTCTTCCTGGCAACCTTTCTGCATCGTTCACTGGAAAGACATCGGTGTGAGCTCTGATCATGTTGTGATGGATTTTGCAAACACAACAATATTAAGAGCAGTTCCCCACACATTGCACAACTGGGTACTTGCTGAAAAAGGACAAAACCATATTAGGTTATGTTCTGCAAATGACAAAAGTGCCACACATAAAGTATGTGGTTGTCACAGTACGATCCTATTCTACTATAACTACTCACTGTATAGCTGCATATAAGATGAATATCACAGTGTTTCATTCAGAATATTAGCACAAAAAACTGTTAATAATAACAATAACTATTATTATGACTTATTATTACTATTATTAATATTAATGAGGCACCCGAAAGCTGCCAAATTCATTTTGTAGCACCACAATGAGCCTAAACATGCAGCCTCATTCACAGAGAGCAATCTTGAAAAACAATCCAGCAACAGGTGGTCTGACTGCCATCAGCTCAGATCTCAGCACCATAGTCTGAGAATTAAAGAGGAGCCACTGAGAGCCTGAATTCATAAGCTGTTCTCCAAAATAATTTATTTATTAAAGCTTGAAACCAAGGAAAAAGCAGCTTTTCTTAAAAAAAAAAAAGAAAAAGAAAAAGAAAACAAGTTCTTTGGGTAGCGACTGAGAAATCAAAAGCCATCCATTGTATTATTTCTAGAAAGGCCCCTCACTTTGCTTTCCAGTATTTATAACTTGTACTATACTAAATGTATAGTGACACTTAGTGACCCTTGTGCAACTCAGCTTTAAAGATCAAAACATGTTTCTCCAAGAAGCACACCTTTGTTACAGGGACCTAAAGAAAATTTATCAGAAAAACATAATCAAAGCAACCGCGCTAACCACAACATGCACGCTGGGCTGTTCTTGACAGTAAGATGATGTGGATTTCCATCACATGTGAAAGATAAGCCACTGTACATGCTAAACTGACTACACAAGGATTTCCATTTCATGTCTGGTTTACTCTGTGCTGCGGGTTTCTTGCTGAGGTAATGTGCCGCATCTACGGCTCTACTGTCTGCAGCAGGTCAAGTCAGAGCCGGCACGTACAAGAGGATGTGTGTTTGTGTGTGAGAATCAGGATGGCATGCCACTTCAAAGAACTCTGAGCTTTGTGTCACCAGCTCAGCTGAGAAGTCTCCATCCTCTACATTTCCCCACACCTTTTAAAAACGGTGAACACAACAATAACATATTGGAGGCCAACTTGCTGACAGTTTCCAGACCAGGAAAAATTATTTAATCACTTGTTTTTAAATTGATGAGGGGGAACAAAAACAAGCATCTAAACCAACTTCCTCTGATCGCATTTATCACAAATCACATCAGCTGCTGAGAATATTACTTTAGAAAACATGTACATATAGTGATGACATTTTACAATGCTGCTCATCTCTACCCACCCAGACCGCAGAAAGAGACCGGGGACCCATCTTTTGTGAAAAGCATGCTGAGTGGGCGCCCTAAGATTCTGATGCATTTGTAGTGAGGGGGTAGAATCTCCACAGGACTACTATCACAAGGGACTCCCCTGGGGCCCAATTTACCCCCTCTCTCACTTACCTGGCAGAGACACACGTCTTACAGAGATGACTGTGGGTTTCGTCACACTCAGAGCTGGAAGCTCAAAGTCTACAGTTGCCTTGCACCTGAACCATATGCACTAGCGGGAAACTGCTCTAAACACCCCACTGTTGGCAAATGTCTGTGTTGACTCAATGCCACTGTGCTGTTTTGCTACGCAAATGCGTATATTCCAGGAGTCACTCATTCTAGCAGGGATGATACTAACTGGTCACGAGTTGAGTCTGTGCACTTCGGCTGAAAGCCACAATTCCCAAATCGACACAAGAACCTGAATCATAACCGACAAGTGTTTCAGTTGAAAAATTCCCTGAATGTGGAGGCACAGGTCAAATATGAGGAAGATATATATGAAGATATATATAGATAGCTATATATAGATATATATTGATATATAGATATAGATATATATCGATATAGATATATATCTATATATCGATATATCGATATATCGATCTATATCTATCTATATCTCTATCTATATATATATATATATCTATATATCTCTATCTATATCTATCTCTATATATCTATCTATATTTTCCCCGTATTTATTGAATTTCATAAAATTTCAGTTATACAACAAAAAGTGCAAGACTTTCAGTTTTACTTTGACGGCACCGGAAAGGGGTTTTAGAGCTCAAAGTCTTGACTTTGTGATGAGATCTTGAATCCATATTATACAGTAACACAGGCAATCACACACAGATCTTGTTTTTGTTTGTTTTTTAAAAAAAAAGAGATAAGAGAAAGTTGGTGTTTTATGGTTGTTGTTTTTTTTTAATCCAAAGCTGAAGCAGACAAATGTATGGGAGCTGAACAGATTCCAAGACACATCTGTGTTTCCACTACAAAAATGTGTTGAGAGGGACAAAAAATAAAAAATAAACATTGTCACAAACATTTCATGAACATTTTTCCTGTAAGAAATTTCTAGGTGCGATGTGACAGGTAAAGTGGAAGTGATCTTACAAAGTGAAGTGCCGAAACTGACAAAATTATACAATAATATTCCCATGATTCCCAAAGTGAGCTGGGAA